GTCTAGTAGATGTGCAATGTGAATGCCGGCCTCATTTGTTGTGTTCGAGCCCAGTGCCAATCGATGGAGCATTAAAATCTCCACAAATGATTGTGTTTGATGTTGTCGCGTGTCCAAATAACACAGAGAGATCCATTTCGGCATGTGGAGACCTGTACACATTAAACACTTCAAGTTTGTCGTGTCTTAGCTCAATGGTTACTCCCATTACCTCTGTCCCTGCTCCACAATTGGGTGGGCTGGTTATGGACTTGGAGATCAGGTCACATTTTACGTAGATTGCACATCCCCTGGATTGCCCGTTGATCAATGGAAGGAAGAAGCCTCGATAGCCTGAGATTTTAGGCTCTAATCCGGCTCGAAGCAAGAAGCCTCGATAGCCTGAGATTTTAGGCTCTAATCCGGCTCGAAGCAAGCTCTCCTGTAGTATCAGGATGTCTATGCCCTTGGTTGCTGCTATGCATTGCAAGTGTTGCAATTTTGTGCGCATTCCATTGCAGGGTCTTTAGACCTCTAGGTTCTTGGAATTTGCTGATAATTCTTTGGTATCCATGGAGTCTGATGAACACGCCATGGAAGTTACAATTGGTGTATAGGTTTTTAGTGAACCTGAAATTGACTCATCAATGTCCCTTTCCGACGAGCTGGACTCTATCTGTTTTTAGGGGGGTGTCTCCTGCCCTACGTTCTTGAAAGTGAGGATATTATATTTTCGAATTTCTTGAGCTTGTGCTCAATTGTCTTCCTAGTCTCTATGGTTTGCTTGATACCGTGTAATGTCAGCAGACTTTCGACCAATTCGGTGACCAAAGATTTGAGCATTGGCCAGAGAGCGTCCAGTTCTGCGGGAGCACTATTTAATGCTGTGCAGGTTTGGGGCCTAGTTACTTTTTGACCCTTCTCAGTAGTCACTTTGACACTGGAATTATTATTCTTGCTCTTATTGCCCCCAGTGTGCTTACTGGATGAAATGGGAGGGCGACTGCTTTGAACATGTTTCTTGTGGCCCCATCTATCTTTTTGTCCTGTACGGAGGCCTTCACACCCTTCACCATAGCCGATGGTGAAGGGCCGTGTGCACCCTCTACCTGAATGGGTAGACCCCAAGCGGTTTTAGTGGGCAGGGGAGCTGGTATAAGTTTTGGTGGGGGCTTCGGCTCCGCTGTAGGCGTGGTGGGGTTCGTTTGAAGCCTTTTGAGCCTTTCAAGGCATTGCAAGTTCCAGGCGTGATGTGCTTTAGAGCAATTTGGGCACTTTGCTTGGACAGGGTGGTTTGCCTTGTGTTTGTCAATGCATATTTTTGTGTCGTGGGGAGCTGGCTGCAGACTCCGCACCTCACTGGGCGTTGGCAGCCATCTTTGTGATGCCCAAATCTCTGACATCTGAAGCATCTTAGGGGCTCTGGGGTGTAAGGCCTGTGTTGGAACACGCCCCAGATTCCAAGGTTAAGTTTCTCCGGGATCCGTCCTCTTACTGTGAGAAGGACTTGTCGGGTTTCCTGTTTTGTGGTTCTTACCTGGCATCTCTCTGCTGACACCACATAGTTCAGCTTTTCGAGATGGCCAAGGGCCATATGCAAGGGATAGTGGAGGACAATGATTTTTCGTATTTTATCCTCTGGTTTGAGTTCCTCACATTTTGTGTAATTTTTCAGAACCGTTGCGGCCGGCTCGTCTTTAGGCCTCAGAATATATTCTCCTCTGAGGTTTGGTTTTGCTCTGATCTGGAGTTGGGGATACTCTTTTTCAAGATCCATTACAGTAGCGTAAGAAGACTTACCTTCGGTATGCTGGACTTTGATGACTGGCAGTGCAGATTTAGTCTGAGGAGCTGGAGAAGCTGGAGTGTTTTTTTCGGAAGATGGGTCGTCATGGAGTGGCTTGTCCTGTTTGCCTTAGTCACATGATTCCACTCGCCGTCACTTTCGGAGCTTGTATCGAGTATAGATTTTCTTTTCCTACACTGAGCAGCATTGCTGGATCTATCACAATTCATTTCATATTCCATGATTTAATTCAAATGCTCACTGTGGAGTGGTCTGGTGAGTGAAGGTGATGCTCTGTGCTACAGGGGACAAAGTCAGCGTGGAGTTGGCTCACTAGGTGAACTCGGGTGAGGTTATTATTCGATTGATTGATTGATGAAGATTAAGCCACCCAAATGGTAGCACGGGCACGAATAGCCCTTAAGTGGTGGCCCTTTTTGGTCCATTACCAGTATCAATAGATGATACTGGAGATCTGTGGAGGTGCGGCTGCACCCTGCGTGACGGGAGATGTCTCCCGTCGTTATTATTCTGTTGTTGTTTTAGATTCAGCTACTCAGACCAAAAGTTCCAAGTAACACGGGCTATGGTGAGCCCGTAACTCACCTGGCACAGGAGCGGGGCAAATAGTACGGGCTATGGTGAGCCTGTAGTGGACTTACCTGGCGCTGGAGCAGTGCTGAATGTGAATCCGTTATTATTCTGTTGTTGTTGTTATAGATTCAGCTACTCGGAACAAGTTCCAAGTAGCACAGGCTATGGTGAGCCCGTAGTGGACTTACCTGGCACAGGAGCGGTGCTGTGAGTGCGTTATTATTCGCTACTCTGCTGCTTATATGCTCGGGCAACACCTCACCGTTCTTCAAAGGTTGGCAGGAATATTAACTGGAAGTAGGGAAAGGTTTGAGTTCTATAATTAGTACTAAGAAGAGCTTTGCTTCTCTCGTTAGGCTAATGCTTTAGGAGCGAGTATATTATTGGGATAATCTACTCGCTACAAAATCGTTGTAACCTAACCTAAAACGCTGTAACGCAAGCGAGGAGTTCTCCAAAGGTACGCTGTAAACGCTAAAACGCTAAAACTGTAACACTGCAAAATCGCAACAAATCTAAAACAAGAAGTCTATGCACAGTTTTCCGTTTCTCTCTGCTGGTCATTGCTACCTAAAAGACCTGGAATCGTGTTGTTCATCATCCATCAACGTCACTGGATCACAAGTTTACAACTTTTCTAGATCTCTCCAAGACGCATCCTTCCTCCACCACGGCTGGATTTCACTCTTGTGTCCAACTGTCTGGTTGACCAGACCACCAACCGCAGGAAGCCTGGCCAGAGACCGGGCCCCCGGGGACGTTGATCCTCGGAACCTTCGAAGGAAAAAGTAAACGCAAAGTAAGATAATCCTCCCCAGGGGCGATAGACTTCCCAGCCATAATCATTAATTTCCTTGCCCGAAACGCTGTGCGTACTAGTGGCTTTAGGTATTGTATGTACTAGCTCTATAAATCCAACATTATGTTTGTAAATCAATTATGTATGTACTTTCCTAAATAAAATTTGCTTTACTTAATTGTCATTAATACTTCATCCCGAGTAATGTCTATGGAAGCAGTCCTAATTACTGAAATGATAGTATTTATCTGTTTGGTGGAAAGTACCAATATATGTAGTGATGGACCACCAGTAAACGACTTATAGATGAATAGACAGATATTGCGTGTGAAGAACATTTCTGTGTTTGTGTTAGATATTATAAAGCTAAACTCAATAGGATTTTACCTCAGTTTATTGGACTAGTTTTAGCCGCAAGGACTTCCTAAGAAGTTTTGTCTCAACACCTCAAAAATTATTTTGGCTATATTGGAGTTGATTTGAAGCATGGTCTTGGACGGACGGAACATCAACTCTGTGTGGACCTTATCTCTCACTTTACACTGTGATGAAGAAAGATATCCCTTACTGGTTTCTTATCAAATGCCCATCATTCCCTGCATATGGGCTGTTCTCATGCATCTGACGAATTACCTTCCAGCATCGACTTCACGAAAGAGAAAGCTACAGCTGATTCCACAGATCTTCATTCAGGAGAGAAAGTTATCTAGAGACTTATAAATGATATGTACAGACTTATAAATGATGGGAAAGATCCCTTACAGTTGATACCTTTGTCAGGAGTACGATGGTTGGCAAGGAACAATAGTGTAGAGCGGCTGTCTGATCAGTGACAGCCGCTCAGATCAGTAATCAGACAGTGGGATGCTTGAACAACTCATTACCAAATCTCTTCTTCTTGTGATAAGTATGTTGCAAGGCAACTATTTAATATACTCTCATCCTGCCATAAGCTATATTTCACATTCCTCAAACCAATCCTAAATGATTTTGAAGGGATGAATTTACTTTATCAAAAAGATGAAGCACTGACTTAGGAAACTTTACTCTTGGAATACTCGGAAGAACCGTGCATCCTGATCAGGCAAATCGTCATGTTAATTTGGACTTAAATTCCATTTATCTGCCCCTGGAGAAAGTGGACTTTTGTTATTAAATTTCTACACGTCTGGCCATCAACAGACAAAAGAAAAATTCTATAAACAAGAAAAAGTTTCAAAATGTTCAAGAAAGAAACCAGATTTTTTTAGTGGAAGCTTGCACAGAGCTTCTTCCTCATATTCCTAGTAAAGCTAAAACTTTCAAAAAGGTGAAAACACTTGTTGCTCATCATTTGAACCACCCATGTCAGTGATAAAATATGAGTCTGCAATATGCAAGAATGAGGTTGTGGATGCAGGCGAAGAAATCTTGATAATCTTCAAATGTGAAGACATTGAAGGACTCCAGATCCATTACGCTTCATGAAGCAAATATTGCTAAGTTATTCTATTATCCTTATGTATATGAGTGGGAGTGGGTGGTTATAAATAGGAGCTGCCTCGTATAGGTCAATAGGCTTTCTGCAGTTACCTTTCTTATATTCTTATTATCCAAACATTGCTAATATTATATTAATACAACCATTAAATCATGTAGTGTTTCACTATATATTAAAATATGTTGCTCTGAAAACCGTATCAGTCGCTAAACAATATATAGGGCTACTTTAAGTACAAATGCGCTACTTTTAGACCGTCAGCTCGCTATATTTCAGCAATTCGGATGCGGCCGCGACCTCGTAATTAGCGCGGGCGGACGAGGGAACGCGGCCGGGAGTCGGGACGAGGGAACGCGGTCAGACGGTGGCGCCAAGACTTCCCGCGTTTGTGCTTTAAGTTGGTAGGTACTCCAGGAAGACCTTGATTTAGGCAGTTTGTGTGGTAAGGTGAGGAAGCCAGGTCGCCATCGTCCACAACGTGTCACAGCCACAACTGGTGAAGTGTTTTGTCTTTGGTAAATGTGTTCACAGCTCTGTGGGAAGTTTAATGTGCGGGCATTTAACTCTGGTCGTTTCTTCCACCAATTTTTTATTTCAACCACTTTGATTACGTATTTTGTGACTGGACTTCGGCAGTATAGCCGTTAGTGTGTGTGTGAACCGTATCTTATACCGAGAGTTAGTTTTAAGTTCATTTATTCTTCACCCCATGCCCATCCTGTGGGCAGTAGTGGACCCCCATACCCATCCTCTGGGCAGTAGTGGACCCCCATACCCATCCTGTGGGCGGTAGTGAACCCTCATACCCATCCTCTGGGCAGTAGTGAACCCCATACGCATCCTGTGGGCAGTAGTGAACCCCATACGCATCCTGTGGGCAGTAGTGAACCCCATACGCATCCTGTGGGCAGTAGTGAACCCCATACGTATCCTGTGGGCAGTAGTGAACCCCATACGCATCCTGTGGGCAGTAGTGAACCCCATACGCATCCTGTGGGCAGTAGTGAACCCCATATGCATCCTGTGGGCAGTAGTGAACCCCATATGCATCCTGTGGGCAGTAGTGAACCCCATATGCATCCTGTGGGCAGTAGTGAACCCCATATGCATCCTGTGGGCAGTAGTGAACCCCATATGCATCCTGTGGGCAGTAGTGAACCCCATACACATCCTGTGGGCAGTAGCGGACCCCATACCCATCCTGTGGGCAGTAGTGGAAAGGGTTATAGAGGCACATAATGGGGCTCAAGGACTTGACCTGAACATTCATTTAGCTAAGCAAGGTAGTCTTGATGAGCTAGTTAAAAATTTATGTATATCGTTTTCATCATTAGTGGGCTCAACTGACCACAAGTACATCTCTAAGCTAAGCAACCGACATATGTGGAGAGCTAGTGTTAAAATTGATATTGTGACAGCCACAGTGGTAAAGCACCCTGGCACTTCACGAGCGCTTTGGCCGGGGAGGATTGACCGGGTGCCAATCCTTAATTGTAGCCTCTGTTCACCCAGCAGTGAATGGGTACCTGGTTGTTAAAAGATATGGCGGGTTGTATTCTGGGGAATATTAGGATTAAGGACCTGCCCGAAATGTTATGCGTGCTAGTGGCTTTACAAGACAAGAATGTAAGAACTCGTGTGCATCTTGAGGTTATCTTGAGATGATTTCGGGGATTTTTAGTGTCCCCGCGGCCCGGTCCTCGACCAGGCCTCCACCCCCAGGAAGCAGCCCGTGACAGCTGACTAACACCCAGGTACCTATTTTACTGCTAGGTAACAGGGGCATAGGGTGAAAGAAACTCTGCCCAGTGTTTCTCGCCGGCGCCTGGGATCGAACCCAGGACCACAGGATCACAAGTCCAGCATGCTGTCCGACCGGCTCCCTGCATAGATAGATAAATAAATCAAAGTATTGATATGGTTTCGTGAAACATTTTACTCGACAAGGTTTTGTTCATCGGCATTTAGTAAACAGATAATATCGACTTTATAATGGTCCAGGACGGACCGAAATGTTATCCGTCTCTTCAATTTCTAGTGTGTGGTTTGGTGAAAATTTTTCAGCCACGTTGTGACTTTACATCTGCAGTTAATATGCTAGTAATATTACTAGTTAATATAATAATACACCAGTTAATATAATATTACTTGGTCTATATATATCCTGACTATTAGATTTTTTTTAATCTATCTTGTACTGTATAAAGTAGCCTACTGTATATCCATTTACAAAAATACAGGTTATTTTGTAGAGCAGATGGAACACAAATATGTGAAGGCGAGACTTCACAATATTTATGTACTGTATTCTGTACCATAGTGTAATACAGTAATTGGATAACTTTGGCACAATTCGAAGCACTGCAAACCTGTTGCATTTTCTTGCCAACTTGTTGCACATTTATTTGAATTATTCAATAATTCAGAACCTGTAAATGCTAAAACACTTAACTTTTAAAGTACAGCTAGAAAAGATGAAGGCAAATGGGGGGGGGGGAGAGGGGATCTTTGACAGGCCCCCAGCTTCCTGTCCTCATCAAGGCCACTAGTGTTAGGGGCTCTCTGGTAAATTCAGGTAAATAATTCTTTGTACAGTACTTTGCAAGAGTGAAAATAAACACAAAATTTAAATATCAACCCCCCCCCCCCCAAAAAAAAAAACTTCATCCAATAATAATTCATTGTGTCCGTGGACGGGGCAGCCAGTGTATTTATACATGTTAGGCTTATATTGCATCCCCCCTCCCTCGGGTCAAATTACGGACCCCCGCCCAGGATGCAATACCTACAAGAAGTTGATTAACTCCTGGGTACCTACTTACTGCTAGGTGAATAGGAGCATTAGGTGGTAGGAAATGCACCCTAAGCATTTCTGTCCCACCTGGGATTCAAACCTGGAATTCTAAAATTGAGTTAAGAACAATACTACCAAGGCCCTTATGGAACTGGGATCATGAGAGACTTGTCTAGATTATCATTAAATTTTGTAAGCTATGGTTAGGAGAGCTACTGTGTTTAGTTTGACCTTATATCTTGTGTACATGCATTTTATAAAATGTGCAGTACAGTAGTTGATAGTGTAACATTAGCGTGTGCAGACTCCGAAGTGTACTCGGGTGAATATAACAGTGGCATTGGGGCCACATTGCGCATAATGCTTCCGTTTCAGTTTGCCTTCCCAACGTTGGCAACAATAAGCAAATTAGAACTTAATAATGTCCAACTAGGCCAGCGATTGACCTATTCCAGAAGGTAATCCACAGCAGTTGCCATAACTCGCAAGGTTTCAGATTGAGTTGCTCTATTTTGATTAGCCAAACTTTTCTAGTATATGGATATGTATTAAGGTTAAATTAGGATATGTTAGTTAGCATGGTTACTTTACATTTGAATAAAATATTAAATTAAGAATTGAGACCTTAACACCAAAGTTTATTTCATCTTACCCGAGCTAACCGAGCAACAAACCTCAACATGATGAACAGTGTCTTGTAGGAAAATATTTATTGTACACACATTGGTAATCTATTGCAAATTATTGAACAATAATTGAATTGGTGTGTGTAGTAACATGTACAGGATAGCCAGATTTACTGGGATACTGAAAAGCATATGTTTTACTAAGTCATAAGATGTAGAAATAAGGGATGGCATTGTAGCCTTGGAGCAGGACACATGGGCCAAGGCTGACAGGTTATTGGTCTAGCCAGGAGTAGTGAGAGCTAACAGCAGTGTGTGGCTGTTGCGCTCATGGACTGCTGAAATGTTGCAATGCTGGTTTGAGACGATTGAATATGGCTGTTTTCATCTTGTTTGTTCAATTCTGGTAGCTCTGCTATTGTAACTAATTCTGAACGAGTTTTGGGGTTGTCATGGTACGAAAATTGATAAATGGCTTTTGTTATGGCCTTAGCAAATCCTGTAACTTTTCAACTTGTTCTCTAGATTTACCAAAATGTACAAAAACAGTAAACATAAATATTTGTGATCTGCTGCTTTTTATAGTACCCTTTATTTTGTATGTTGGGGACTAGTGTGTACAAAATGAGGTATTGTGGAGAGAATGGGTTGAGCTTTCAGAGGACACTGGCAAGCCTGCAGGCGCTAGTCTGATAGTGATGGGAGTAACTGCACATGTTAGAAAAGAAATAAATTTTTATAATATTGATTAATCAAAATATTAATGTAGAATACCAAATTTGTATAAATAAAATTACAGATTGGCATTAAATAATTACAGGTAATGAAATAATTGAAATTATCTTTATTTTACATAGTAAATATATATTTATCATTTTCCATATTTTTCTACCATAGCCTCGTTCTTATTAGTTCATGTACTATGTCATTTCAGTTATGTTTAAATTGTACCACTTGCCCATAATGTAAATCATTACCACTATATAGCCATTACCTATTGTATACTCTAATGACCAATTTTTTTGACTAAGAGTTGCAGTTAACCGCTTTCATGTTTTTTCCCCCCCATTACCAATTTTTGGGGGCTACCAATGTCTTGGGTCAAGTGCAGATTCATGTAGAGATATTTTATTTCCAATGCATACTGCCAAGTGGCTGTACATGGTAAAGTGTTCAATTTGGCATCTTTTTGAGCTAAGAGTTGTATTTTATGATATTTTCACAAATGTAATGAACGCAAAATAAAATAACAAGGTGATTTAGTTTTTTAGTTTTTTCTCAACATAACTGTAGAAATCATTTTCAAAATCATCAGAACATTCTGGCATTTTGTGCAAATGATGACTGAAGGCAACAAAAATGTTAAAGGGTTAATATTAGGCTCTTTTCATGACAGGTAATGCAGTGTCCAACATATCTTTTTTCTAGTTTTCCTGTAAGTTGATGTGTCTTTACTCAGAAACCCAAAAATCCAAATTTCAGATTCATCTAACTTTGAGTGGTTTGCGAGAAAACATCATTTTCAAATTCGTCTATCTCGGCTTCTAGCTGACAGCTAGAAGAGTGATTTAAAATACATTTGTGAGGTATTCTTTAAAATACAGCATTTTGATAATGTTATGAAAAACAATTTTTTTTTTTTTTTTTTACATAAATTTTGTTAATTTATATTTTTAAGAGGAATCTGCCAAGAGTGTTTGGTTGTAAATCTTGCAAGTGTATTACTTTGAATATTGGTTGATGTATTTTGCATGCTGATTTACCATCTACAAAGAATGATAATGAGGTCTCCGTGGTGTAGTGGTAAGGCACTCGCCTGGCGTTCCGCGAGCGCTTTGTCATGGGTTCGTATCCTGGCCGGGGAGGATTTACTGGGCGCAAATCCTTAACTGTAGCCTCTGTTCAACTCGACTGTAAAATGGGTACTTGGTTGTAACAACGATTCTTCGCGGTGTGGATTGTATTCCAGGGACCGGCCCGAAACGCTACGCATACTAGTGGCTGTACAAGAATGTAACAACTCTTGTATATATCTAAAAAAAAAATATTTTTGTAATTTTGTCTATCTAATATGAGTGAGAGAAACCAGTATTGC